AGCCGGGAGTTGTCTAGCTAGGACAGTGCGTTGCCTTCGGGGTTAATTAGGAGGTGACAATGACATGTGGGGCCCTGGACGGGAGGAAGGCCAATTCCAGTACAGTAGCCCGGTACTCCATGTCACTATTTATCAGGGTCGTTGTGAGTGGTTTCGAGCCTCGAATATGTGATATAGTACGCAGGAAAGAGACGGATCACTGGATTGACGCTTTATGTGGCTCTGCCGCTTCGCGCCACCAATTGGTTGTTTTCAGAGGCAAGTGGCCAGTTTGGTTTGGTGCTTATCCTTTTGCAACTAAACAATTACGGAGACCTTAATTCCATGGCCTATCTATACGACTATACTGTATCTGCTTTACATATTCAGGGGTTTGTTTAACGCATAGAGCGCCTAGCTAGTCACACGCCACAATGGCCGTGCACAAAAGCATCGGTTAATTTCCGGCAATCGCATGCAAAGGCAAAGGAGGTTAGGGGGAGGAAAGCGAGCATTAAGCCATTAATTCCCCTGTGATTGTTGTGCCCTGTTTCGTGATCAAGTTGCAATGAGACGGGAATATGCCGTGCACTCGTGCAACCCTCGGCTTTTGCACCTACTCGAGAACAATTAAGAAAAGGCAAGTGTCTGTCTGGAGGCACTAGTAGATAGCGTACTCGTTGCGTGCGCAGGTGTAAAGCGCAACGGAGACCAATCTGGGTGTGCGAGCGAGCGGCAGCGACTGCGAGGCAGCATCAGGATCGCAGAGTTACAAGTTGCAAAGTTGCAAGGCCTTTCCGAGCTCCGGCGGCTTCTCTCGGTTCGCCTGCGAGTGCGAGGCAGCTCATGCACGCGTTGTGTTCCCCCTGTCTCGAGAGGGTGTTGTACTGGGCCTCTAGTGGGCTTCTTTAGGCTACAATTCATTTCGTCGGCGAATTTCCTATAGGAATAAGTCCACTTTGACTCCCTTAAAAGTGGCTCGAATCTAATCCATGACCCTAAACCGCAAAACCGGATATCTCGACTCCGAACTATTGAAACCGGTGCAATTTGACTCCCTTGGTGGTTTGGAGGGCGGTTTCGCTGACGTGGCGCTGACGTGGCAATGTTGACTTAGTATGTGGGTTGACATGGCGCTTAGGTGGCATTTGAATTAAAAACGCATACGTGGGACCCGTTTGTCATTCACACATATTAAAAATTGTGGGGCCCACTGATCTTCCTCCCTTCCCTCTTTCTTTCTCTTTCTCTTCTCGCCCCTTCGGCCGGCCGCGGGGGTCACATGACAGGTTGTAGCGGCGGCGGGCGGGGGCAGAGCGGCGGCGGCGAGCTCACCTTCCACGACGACCGCGTCGACCTGCCTCGCCACGACGGCGGGCGGGGGCAGAGCGGCGGCGGCGAGCTCACCTTCCACGACGACCGCGTCGACCTGCCGCGCGCTGGTCACCGCCCAACGCCCCGGCGCTGTCCATGGCGCGTACCGCGCAGGCCAACGGCGTGTGGTTGTGGAGCTCAGGGGAGAGTCCTTCACCTACACTCGCCGCATTTCATGCCCTAGGAGGCTGCCGTCTCGGCCCCCCATGGCCGGAACCCTCCACGACCCCAACTCCGGGTCAGGAGGCGAAAAATGGCGCCCACTCCTACTACTACTCCCATGGTCGCGCCGTTCGCCCAGTATGTAGCCGACTCCTCCTCCACATTGCAATCCGCCGCCGCCGCTCTGGCCCCCACCCACCGCCGTTGTAGCCTATTCCCCCGCGGCCGGCCGTAAGGGGAGAGAAGAGAAAGAGAAAGAAAGAGGGGAGGAAGAAGAAAGAGAGAGGGGATGACATGTGGGGCCCACATGTCAGTGGGCCCTACAATTTTCAATATGTGTGAATGACAAACGGGTCCCACGTATACGTTTTTAATTCAAATGCCACTTAAGTGCCACGTCAACCCACATACTAGGTCAACATTGCCACGTCAGCGCCACGTCAGCGAAACCACCCTCCAAAACCACCAAGGGAGTCAAATTGCACCGGTTTCAATAGTTCAGGTGTCGAGATATTCGGTTTTACGGTTTAGGGTCATGAATTAAATTCGGGTCACTTTTAAGGGAGTCAAAGTGGACTTATTCCTTTGCTATATATATGCCGTTTTGTTTTTTTTCCTTAAAAATCATACGTTTTATTTTGACATATGATTTTCACTGGATTTCAATTTTTTACCGATCAAGCTGTCAAGTTAGACCTAATTTCATCCTTTACTCATTTACTCCCTCTGTTTCATAAAAAATCAACGTAGTACACATCTAGTATTAGGTTGGTTTTTTATGGAACGAAATGAGTACATTGATATAGTCCAGCTACACGCATGTATGGGTTGGTTTGATTATTCAAAAAAGTAACGATTGAATGAAATTACATTACAATTTAAATGTAGTTATAATGTAATTAAATTATCTTTATATTTGTAATTGCATTTGTGTGATTTTGAGTGATATATAACTAGTCTCTTTCGTTAGAGCCGACATGCCTAGGTGTGTATTCGGTTAGACTGATAAATTCAGTCTAGGTATTCGTTCTTTAGTAGATTTCTGTCAATGGAAATTAAAGCATGATCAGCTCTGAACAATAGAATTAAAGACCGAGCAATTCAGTCTTGGTCATGACCAGATTGGACAATAGACCCTATGAGTGAGAATTGAGGAGCATAGGCATTTTGCAAAAATCTAGCTATAAACAAACATCAGATCAGCTGGGTGGGTGCAGGATTCACAATTCCGATGAAAACCAATCGAATTTCGCGAAATTTCGAGGTTTCGACGAGGCTTTTTCCTATTTTTCTAGTCACCAATTGAAATTTCGGTTATTTCGCTCGGAATTTCACCAAAGCCGACTGGTTTTCGCGAGCTAATCAGTAAACTCAGAGAATTTGTATTCAAATTTTGGTTTATAAAATTTATTCGGAATCTACCGACTTTTCACCGGATTTTGCGAAAAATCGTCATTCTGTGAGAGCCCGAAACGGAAGGTTATCTCGGAATCGTAAACCCCATGTGGGTGGGGCCGTGAGGAGAGGAATACAGAGAGAGTTGGCTGTATTCTTTAACTTGAGGTTCCCAACCTCACCCCCTCGTTTACTATATATATTGTTGGGCTGGTGGTGGGTCTACTATCAAATTTCTATTTGTTAAAGTATTTCAGTTAACCATGAAAGTGGCCGAATGGACCGAATAAAAATTGCTTAGATCCAGTGATTGAATTAGGTTTTATTTGAAATACAAAATGGGTCTAAAGTTTGTAAGTTAAATTATAAGGGGTTTAAAATGTTATAATTTCTTTGAAATATAAACAAAATGATCAATCCAAATATTAAAAATTATTCACGGTCACAGACCCACGATTATTTGAAGTTAAGTAACAAGTTCTAAAAAATTTTTAGATCTGAAAAAGTATGCCAAACAGGATAAAGTCAGCGGCGGAGCTAGCGTGGGGGCGGGGGCTCGAGCCCCGCTACCCCGCTGGACTCCATGGAAATATGAGGGAGGAGGGGGGGGGGAAGAGGGAGAGGAAGAAGAAAATGGGGGAGAGAGGGGGCTGGAGGAGGAAGAAGAAGGTTGAGCCCCCCTCTCCTCCAAACCTAGCTCCGCCTCTGGATAAAGTGACCAAATTTCTCGGTCCGAGTCTTTTCCGTTTACGAGTTATGTTCCAGTATGTTTTGCACAGTACACGCCTACCGATCGACGTGAGCTGTGTGCCCGTGTCTCCGGTCCCTTGTGCTGTTCGTTCGACCGAACGACGTACGCGAGCTAGCTACTAGTATGCCGTTGTGCCCCGCCGGCACGCCGCCCTCTCGTGCACTGCGAAAAGCATCTACTACGGAGTACATGGTACGCAGGCCACACACGCATGGGCCGTGATGCGCGCAGGCAGAAGCGCGCGCGCGGTTGCTAAATTTCATGTACGTACTCCCCGGTGGTCCAGTGGGAATTCTGGTCGATCGCGATTGGGTCGCGCCTGGACGCGCGACGGCTCGTGTCGTACTGATCATAGCGTATGTCAATTGTCCAGATTCATATCATAGTTTAAAATTGCTATATTTTGAGATGAAGGTAGTACGTCATAGCGCTTGCGGGCGGCGTGCCGGTGCCTAGAACGGAAGAAACCAACAACGGGCAACGTGCAACGAGCGGTAGTGCGAGAATCGCGTCTGTGTCTCTCAGGTTTTCCGAGTAACGACGCGATTCTCGCATGCTAGCCACAGGGCCACATCACACCATGATCGACCATGTACGTTTCGATCGAGCAGTCAAAGCCGGATCGTCGGAGGCTCGGAGCTAGCTAGCCATGTCACCTACTACCTAGCTAGCTCTCGATGCCTATATGTACGTTTCCTCCACGCAGCAAGGGGTGAGGTCCCGGCCGTTCTGAATGTGCCTGATATATTCTTCCATCTGCGCCGTAACTGCTTACTGCAATGCCATCAAACAGCTCTGGCCACGTAGGCTCACATGTACTCGTGCAGGTATGCATAAACACACACTGGTAAGCACGTACTTGTACAAGCTAGCTAGTAGCCTGGGACGAATCTAACATGAAGACGGTGATGACTCTAAGCCTCCACTATTAACGCGAGGGCCATAGGAGTCGCCACGAAACCCCTACTAAACTTTTTTACAGAAAAGCTAGGAGAGTTGCAGTTTTATCTAGTCTGCTTAGTCCTCCTCTCTTCCCTTATACGTCACTGGGAGTAACTAACTACGTTAGCTCCACCGTAGCTAGCTAGCTAGCGCAATGTACAGCGGCAATTATATACACTGTGCATCCCATCGATCGATCGGTCGACAAAACGTGCAGCGCGTTTCCTGTCGTCCGTCCGCCCGCGCGCGCTTTCTGAGCTGAGCCGAGCAGCAGCAGCTAGCTAGCCATCGATCCCATTGAATTCCCGCTAATGATGGCCGCGCCATGCATCTCGCGTCTCGTCTCGTGATGCGGGGCGTGGTTGCGCCGCGCGCGCGCGGATCCGTCAGATCGATCGCTATTGCCGATGCCCGCCGCCTGGCACGCTGTCGCGAACCCTAGACGGCTACCGCACACGTACTCCGTACGTAGTACGCCCAACGATCGATATATAGCAGCCATGAGCGCATAGCCATCAGCCAAAGCCCACAAGGCAAACACCACACGCGCGACGTCAGAGAGAGCTATAGCGCTTGCGCGCGCGACGGCGGCGGCGACAAGCGAAACGGCGTGGAGAGTGGGAGATTGATCGATCGAGCGAGTGGTAAAATGGGAATTAGCGGCGAGAGGAAGGGAGCCGCGAGGCAGTACAACAGGTCCAAGGTGCCGAGGCTGAGATGGACCGCGGAGCTCCACCGCAGCTTCGTGCGAGCCATCGACTGCCTTGGCGGCCAACAAAGTAATGCCTCGATCGATCGTCGATCAGATCAGTCACTTCAATTAATTCCTTTCTCCTGCTTTCTTGCTGATCTCTGCTTCGATCTCTCTCTGGAACGGGTGTTGTTTATCCATTTGTTTGTTCACCCTCACTTACGCGTGCGTACATTCATGCGATCTCTGTCTTCCAATGGCCTCATGTTCTCAATGGCGTTGTTTAACTGCAGAAGCAACTCCTAAGCTCATTCTTCAGCTCATGGATGTCAGAGGGCTTACCATATCTCACGTTAAAAGTCACCTACAGGTCAGCTTCAATTCTCCCGTTCTTCAGGCGTTATTTTGCTATACTAGTCATCGACCATGGAATTATAAGAAAGTACACCAGAATTTACTGTTTGTTTAATTTCGACAGATGTACAGAGGCACACGGCATGGCATTGGACAAAACGGTGAGGCTTTGTTAACTTAGTTCTTCTCTTTCTTGGGAATTGGGATTGGATTATGCTTTACAGGAGCTGATTATAGTGTAATAATTCGACAATGTTATACGTGCCTAATTATTGTATACTAATTACATTACTCTATCTGAAACAAGAGATCTAAACTTCCTGAAACTTCCCAGTTCTGGTTGGTGTAAATTAGGACCTCACTTTGTGGTTGTGGACTTGTGGGGGCTGTAATTCTTCAGCACACATGTGAATTGCTAATGGAAAGCTAAACCGACTTTATTCTTATTCTTTTCTCATGTTACCATCAGATATGCAGCCACAGCTACATCTGAAGCAGCACTCATTCGGCAGTGATGAGCAGAGCCCCAAGGAATTCATGTGCCCACCCATAAAAAGGTTTTGCTGCCGCTAGCTTTTTCTAGCTAGCTCCCAATAGTGCTAAGTTAAAAAGATTATCTTTAGTGGCCTAATCTCTTTAAGGCACAAGCACCTTTTCCATACTCATTCTCTCGCTCTTCTCTTTGGATGAACAGGGCCAAGGTAGGGACAGAAGCTTCAGGCAAATACAGATGCATGGAAGGGAGCAGTGACATGAGGAGTAGTGCTCCTCCTGCAGGCACCCGGTACTTCATCGATGATTGTATGCGACTGCAAGAAGTGTCCATGGATAGGAGGAGATCAGATCAACACGATGCTGCAGCTGCCGCTCGTGCTCGTGCTCCTGCTGCTGCTGCTTCAAGCCTTCATCAGGCACTGGGATTTTGGGTGCAGGGAAGAAGAGAGGAGCCCTTTATGGTACACCAGGTAAAAAGAAAAGCTAAAAGAAACCTTAGCTAGGGCAAGAACAAAAGGCTTATCAAAAGAAGATACATCTAGCTCTCTTGTCTTAACTGCTTTGCCGCCACTGATCTTTCTCTTCACATGTCTCTCACTATCTCTAGTCTTTTCTTCCTAGCTTTATGCATATTGCTGCATGGTTGGCGTAATATTTTTTTCGTATAATTCTCCCAGATGCTAGCTAGATTTGCTGATACCTACCTCCTTTCCCTCATCGTGCATACTATAACATGTTCACTTATATGGAACTGGACTAGAGTGTCCAAAGATATACTAGGACACTTTACCTATTAGGACTTGGGAGTCATATCTCTGATTGGCATCGATATGGGCATGTTCATGCACATCCCAGCAAAGGTCAACAAACTCCAGACGTGTCCTTCAAAAAAGAGAGAGAGAAGAAAAGAACAGGATTAATAGAATTTATACATAGTATAGAAATACTAGGACAGTGTGGTACATACACTGTCACAGTTGTACTAGGCACCAGTATATATAGGACACTGCCACAAATGGCCCTTGAGAGCCCTGTTTTCTGATAGGAACACGACGGTGGTGTAACTTTGCCTCAGAGCATTCCCTTCAGCTCATCGACAATGATAAGCCAAAAGAAGTGGCTTTTTGCAGAACTCGGTTGCTATCCTTGCAGTTGCACGCAGCAGTTTCATGATGGACGATGATGGCGCGGTGCGGACGGAAAGAACAAGATCATGAAAGCTCTCTGGTGCCCCTGCTCCGGCTGCAAATTAGTAGCAAAAGTTGACTAGTGTCAAATATTTTGCTTTGGAAGCACATTAGCTCGATCTGTAGCTCCTTCTGTGTGTTACAGTTTCACTGCACTCGTATATATGGGCTATCAACCTGCATATCAGGGAAATAAATTTGACAGTTGCAGCAGGACAAAACAAAGCCTGTCTTGCTTGAAATGCAGTTAAACATTTAGAACAGTTTGATATATCTTCCTAACCTTTGCTGTGTCGTTGGATTTTGCAGATTAGTAAACCCAAAGCACATCAACTGAACCATATGGTCAGGAACATGAAGATATCTTGCAAGGAGAACCACGAAAGTAGATTCTTCATGGTGAGAAGTGCAACTAGAGATGAACAAGTCAAGAAACGCGCACCGCCGCTGTCGCTAGCCGTCGACCAGAAAGCTGCGAACGCTATCTCCTCCTGGCCCAGCGAGGCCAGCTGCGTTATCTCGCCGTCGCCGAGGAACTTCAGTACTGACTGCTCTGGGCCTCCAGGGTGCAGCTTTGTTGGCCGGAGAGTTAACCTGGAACTTTCCCTGTCAATATGTGGATCATAATTTAGATCATTAATATTAATAATTATGGTAGTTTTTGTTGATCAGTCCCTCGTCATGGTGCTATTACTAATTTCTGCTGATCTCGTTTCTCGTGAAACACCCTCGAAGCTGTGATTGCTGATCGTATGGATCAAGGTATCAGAGCAAGTTCAAACTTATAAGCTAGCTACTCGACACACGATTTACAGACGAGTATATTACTTCCTCCGTTTCACAATATAATTCATTCTAGCATTTCCCATATTCATATTGATGTTAATAAATTTAGATAAATATATATGTCTAGATTCATTAACATCAATATGAATGTGAGAAATGCTAGAATGATTTACACTGTGAAACGGAGGGAGTACACAATAGCAGGCTACACGGTTCCTAAACATGAACTCGCTCCGTCCCATTTTAAGAGCGGACTTGAGTTTTCGTGTCCAACTTTAATTGTCCATCTTATTTAAATTTTTTTTATGATTAGTAATTTTATTGTTATTAGATTGTAAAATATGAATAGTACTTTATGCGTGACTTATGTTTGACAAATTTTTTTTTATGATTAGTAATTTTATTGTTATTAGATTGTAAAATATGAATAGTACTTTATGCGTGACTTATGTTTGACTTTGGCAAGGCCTCTGGTAGAAGTGGCTAGAATTTCAAACGCAAAACAGTAGCATTTCAGACATGTACCCTTTTTTCCCCTCATTTGAGCTTTGTGTGCTAGTTTGGCCGCGTTTAGTTCCTCCTCCAATTTTTTCTTGACGTATACGGACGCACATTTGAAGTATTAAACATAGACTAACAACAAAACAAATTACAGATTCTGCCTGTAAACTACGAGACGAATTTATCAAGCCTAATTAATCCATCATTAGCAAATGTTTACTGTAGCACCATATTTTCAAATCATTGCGTAATTAGGCACAAAAGATTCGTCTCGCAATTTACATGCAAGTTGTGTAATTGTTTTTTTTTCATCCACATTTAATGCTCCATGCATGTGTCCAGACATTTGTTGTGACAGAATTTTTAGAAGTTTGAAGGGAACTAAACACAACCTTTGTCCATTATCTTTTTCAAAAAAAAAAAATTCCCTTTTTTCAATTCACCTCCTTAACCCTAGTTAGACACATCAAGGAATGCAAACTTTGGGCCCTCATGAATTCAAATTTTTCACAAGATCTTTGCAACATACCACAAATACAGTTTAATTCATACATGAACTATGAAAGGTCTGCACATTTTAACTAGATATAGTGGAAATGAAATGAGGGCGGCCTATAAGAAAAATCACCCATTACCAGTTTGCCACCGACTTTGACAGCTCCTGCATCTGCAGGAATGTGCTGAACAAAGAAGATTCCTCCTGTCCTGAAATTGTTATTCCTTGTCTAAAGGCATTCAGCATATATAAAAGAATCAGGTGATAATTTTGAGGTTCGCAAGTGTATATATAAATGGAATTTCAGAGTAGCATACTAGCATCAGTAGTGATAGCTCACATGTTGCACAGTATATTATGTGTCAGGAGATCAAACAGTAGTAGCTTAAATTCAGGCTTGTATTTATAAGCAATATGTACTCATGGGTATACTGTAGTAGAGCTACCATGTGCTTTTCTTTCTTCTCCCTCGCTCTGCTGGAAGGAACACAAACAGAATGATTAAAACATAGTCAGCTCATGTGCGTGCGTGTGTTGTCTGTTTCGAGTTGTTGTTTCTCAAAAGCCTAAGAGAAGCAAACATGTCACGTAGACCACTGATTTGCTGGTTAAAAGATTGACAAATACAACACTATTCTGGTCGCCAAAAGTAAAGAAAACATCTAAAAAGGTGGTTAGGAATATATACTCGTCAGTTTCTGTGCTTACCTTTGATACTGCGAATGGCATCATCTTTTGTCAAAATCAAACCATTTACCACTTACCCAAAAGTTTCAGACTGACAGCATCTCATCTCAAGTACACATTATTACCATGATGAGCACCACAGTAGATTGCAGGGAAAAAGTACGGTGGACGAAACAAAAGCCATCTCAGTAGCTGCTTCTTCAGCAACATGCATGCTTTTGTCTGAACTGGCCATAATAGATAAAGTTCAGAAAACAGTAGAACACCATAATAGCCAGCGACCTCATGGTTTTGACATCGCAACATGCAAAAATAACGACAAGAAGTACCCTCCAAGAGCTGCATGAACGAACTCTGCAGGGCTGCAACTTATACACTGACCTACCCAAAACCAGCCAAACAGCAGTTGGTGGGGACTACAGATGATATGATGCGTAGAACAGCACGCAACCATGGAAGGGTTTGATGTTTGTTAAACCATCTCGACCATAGAAGATTCAAGCTGCCGCAGAGTTGTAAACTTGAAATGAGCAGACTGATCAAATTGTATCATCTGTATTATGCCCATCACGGTGCCATCTGATTGATATCAACCAAGGAGGCATCACTTCTTCTTTGCCGCTTTTGCATCAGGCACCAAAGCCTTGACACAGAGACGAGGCTTAGTCGAGATGAGTTCAGACGGGAGAACGGACACCCCAGCCACTGAAGATCCCAGGGATACCCCAGAAATAGGGAGCATCTCCACTAGTACTGCCACCTGGACATTAGAATATATCATTTATTGTGCAAAACAGTATGCAAGATTTATGCACAACAGTGCAAAGCAATTTCCAAAAGGCCATAGATCTAAAACTTAAGTTTTTCTCTGTATTTAAAGTAAAAGAACAGAGAATATAATTGCGTATTCAAACATGATAGTGCAGAAGTTATCTAAAAGTGTAAGTTGTCCTCTACGCTTCAAAGTAAAAGAGCAGATAAGTATACATAGAATTCAACTTTACATAGTTATTATGACTCTGGATAAATGGTTCCAACTTTTTATCTCACTAGTAAATTAGTTTGTTTCATTTTACTCTCATCACTCCTCGTTTATATTATTGAAAAGTGAATTATAACATTTGGAACCCATGGTAGAAGCCAAAAAACACGTAAAGTTGTGAACTATCAGAAAACCTAGTTGGCCGTTGGGTTTCAAAGTTCAAACAAAAAGACGTGGTGAAAGTAGAGGTATACTTAGCGGACCAAAAAGATTATTATTGAACAATCTTGATGATGACAACTTTGATGAAAAATATTGACTTACTGACATCTGCTGCATCCAAAAGTAAACGTGCTGAAATTGCAGGATGTCAGATAATCACGTGTCAATACTGTCCAAAGACTCAAAAACTTATCTCAGTTGTCATCATGATCGAGTGGAAAATAACACGCTAACTTCACTAGTCAGCATTGATAACTTTGTTGTTTTTCCAATTTGGTGTCTTTAGATTATGGTTCTTTAAATCCTCCATGTTAGCTGGCAAGTAACTCTGCTAAAGTATTGAGAGGTTCATTCAAGGAACCGATTTTACCTCAGGAGATCTGAGATCCACAATTGAGTTCTCAGCAACTGATTTGACGGCACCAGCAACGACCTTGAAGCATTGGTCCCTGTCCATTAAAGTTTGTTGTTTTGAACCTTCATTGCCATTCTTCTGCCCTTTCATCTCTGTTTCATCAATGCCTCTTCTATTATACCCAACTGCGAACTTTACCATAGGTTAACATTATATGAAATATTAACAGTTGATATGTTTCCACGAGATAATGCTGCCAATGCTAAAGCCCATGCCATTTTCAAGATAGATACAATTATAAACCGTTCAAAGCATGAAGCTATTTCAATGGGTAATGATTAGGATAACAGAAATGCGTAATTTTGTTACTTGTGCATAGCATTACAGTACCATTTTAGAGAACTAAACCAAATACAAGAAATATTTTTAACTCAACACATGCAATGGCAAGAGAACTGGATATGAGATCTGCAATGGCAAATATATATCACAAAAGAACTGGACAAGAGAAATCCAGCTATAGAACTGGATTGATTGGATTCCATCAACGGTTTAATCCAATCAGTAAATGTAAGCAGTGCAATATGCTGTGTACCTTGATAGGCTCATCTTGGTCTTCCTTACTCTTTACAAAGTCAAGAAATAACTTTGACACAGTAGTATGTAGTTCTGCTTCTGACAGAACACATGTTTCCTGAATAGGAAATATGCGATGACACCATCTGCCCATTGAAGGTTGAATAGTTTCAAATCAGAAATTTTCCAGTGCAACTAGAGTCAATCATGGCATACGGAATTGGTTGGCAGAAAGACGCACTGCTGCCATATTTCTTGAACAAATGAATGGTAATAGGTTGCATAAATCAAATCGCTATGATGCAAATCTAGAATAGAAAAGGACAAAATGATAATAATATTATCTTCTTCTGCTTTCTTAGTGATCTGGTCTACACTGCACATCATTCACACATTCAGCATATTAGCAGAAAGAAGCAAGCAAGCGTAACATATTGCGCAGTCACTAAACGGTACCGAAATTAACAAGTTTTGAAGTTGAAAACTGAATCAAGGTTGACAAACTTAACTATACTCTTTTAAAAGGGAGTAGTGGTGGTGGTGAGTGGTGAATCTGCTAGTAAAAGAAATTATGCTAGACAAAGCGTGCTCTAGAAATAGTATGTTGTAATATGTGGGATCGCTTATTACTTTTCGGCACTTCCATATGACAGCTGAAGCCTGTAGTTAATAAATCAACTTTGTTAACAGCATTTTGAGAGAATGAGTGTCTAATGAAGTTAAGAACTTACTGTGGAGATTTAAGCTTGCCAGAATGCAGTGAATGAAACATTTGTGTAAGCATTTGAACAACACGAAGGCCTCCGCTAGGAAACGAAAAGAAAAGCAAGCCACTTCTTGACAGTTTAACCAGTGAGAGATTTGAAGTGTCGTCAACATTTTTACTTGTTTTGGAGTGAGGTGAAACTGAGTCTTTTTCTACACTGCCTGTTACAGAACCAGAAAAGACACAGCGTTAGAAAAAAGACAGGTAACCAAACCATCCAAAATCACACCCTTTAGATTGAATGAATGAATGTGGCTAATAAGTTATGAAATACAATTGATGCTAACCAGTTGTTTCTGAAGCATCACCCTTCTCATATGTTACTGCATCTCCTGAATTTTCAATATCTGGTGTCTCGGAACATATTTTCCTTTTCTTTGCTGAAACTTCCGTATCACTTGGTTCTGACTTTTCAGAACTATAGCTGTTTGCATGACCAATGGACTGGCGAAAAACAGTAGCACACCCAGTATATTTCAGAATAGAGTGTAAGGAAGATGAAGTGGAAAATGGTTGCCCAAAGTATGAATAAACTACCACAATCAAAGGTAAATACTACAACTTAAAGTTGCTCTATACTTGCAAGATATTCAGATGGTAGCAAATGTGCTGTAACATTAAGTTTTATGTGCTAGAATTATCCATTGCAGAAGAACAACCAAAGAATAAGGAGCAAGACCTACATTTTCAAGAATGGAAATGGCTTCCTTTGTTGCGCTTTTCTCACGTTCTGTAAGAAGATGATGATCACATCAAATTTTTGCAGTAGTGAATAGAAATTAAGTGTATATGTAGAATTTAGCTATATTTAAGATTTGTTTTAATAAATATCTTTGTAAGATCTGTCACAGGGTAGCAGCTGGATTCTAAAATAACCCAATAGTAGGAATAAGATCAAAACAGGGATAAAATGTAGGATAACCCAGATCACTCAAGACCAGCAGAACTTTCCAGAATAACCGCAACCTAAGTGGTTTGGCTGATGCTTCAGCACATTACATACCTAAGAACACTCCTGGCTACACAAGCGGTTACAGATTTTATTCAATCCTTGACTCAGTGAGCATGTTACAATTTCCAGAATGCACATACAGCAGACCAAACATCATTACTTATTTTTTTAAGACAATACACCTTTGGTCTCTCAACTCTTTCCATGGTTTAAGTTTTCACCCCCAACTCCAAATCGTTTGAAATATGTCGATAAACTTTTGAAAGCATGCAGATATCCCTTGCAAAAAAAAAAGCATCAGTTTTGCCATATGTCTAGTTAGTGTGTATTTGGCCTACTTGTCAGCCCCCTCTCAGCTTCATCTTCTAGCTGGACTACATGAGGACTGAGGACACTGGCAAGTATAGCGAAGTTTTTTCTTCTCACCATATTTTTTTCCTTTTCTCCTATACTGCATTATGACAAATAAAAGTACAATAGTTGCAGGTGATCCACCACAAATTTATAAACTATGCCAACATTAAACAGTTGTAAATTTGATTTACTTTTCAGCACATACAACTACAGTTCATCAACTACTAACTGACAAGTCAACAGAAGAAGTGTCTGGCAGGGTCGAGTATACAACCATTGGGTAAGCTAACCGATATCCATACAACAATGTACTAAAAACTCATACACCAAAGTCGAAGGGTAACAAAAAGGTAGTTAGTTCTGCGCCTCCAATATCCACATCTAATGATCTAAATGCTACTAGTACCTTTTAGCGTCACAGGGGTCACTCGAATGAATCCACTAACAAATCCACCACCTGAAGTATCTAGTCTTCCCCTACGTATCCATATCCAACAAAATAGTTTTTGCTAAAATAGCACGAGTAAGTCTAAACATGGATGAGGGGCACGCACTGATGGGGCAGGTGATGAGGAAGCCGGAGTGGGAGCGGAGGAGGAGGGAGCCCGACGCGCGGTAGTCGTAGCGCGGGAGGTTTATCACCGCCGCGTGCTGCTCCCATGGCTGCAGCGGTCGGTCGCTGGCTGCGGCGGCGGGGGCGGGGGCGGCGGCTGGTGGCTCAGTTGGAGGCTCGCGGGCCGGCGGTGGGGTTTCGATTTCGGGCTTCGGCTCCGGTTCCTCCGCCGCCGCCGCCATGGAGAAGCGCCGAGGATTTCTCTCTCTCTCTTCGGTCGCACTTTGGGCGGCGCCGAGGTCCGAGGAGGGTTTGGGGTTTGCAGACGTATTCTGTTAACCTGTTAACTCGATCCGAAGGCGTATTTCTGTTGGTTCCCGTGAACTCGAACAGAAAGCGTATTCTCTTCCTTTGCGTAAACTCTCCTCACGCGCATTGCTTATAGGATCAAAATAATCGATTAGAGTTACACATGGAAAAGTCTAGGACCGGAATCTGATATAGTCACGGAGCTTTTCTTACTAAGTTGATTTCAGCAGCTGCCAAGTACTCCATATGTCTAAATTCATTAATACCTATATGTATGTGGGAATACTAGAAAGTCTTACATTGTGAAACGGATAAGTACCTGAGATGATGCTAGTAGATTTGCGATGGCCGGTCTATTCATCTTGTTTATGAAAAGATACATCTGGGTCCAGGTATGAAAAAACGTACGCATAATTGGAAGACTATAGACACCAACCTTACAATCATGATTATTGAATTATTGGTATATCCATGTCCTGTCCTGAAAGAGGCTATTTTTGAACAATTTCCGTGTTTGTGCAGATACGATATGCACACTGTTGTGTGTTTAGGGTGCTACTTACCTTTATTTCAGTGAAGCATACACAACAACCACACGATCCGACTCATGTTTTTGAAACCTTACAAATATATAAAGAGATTGATGTTGTTTATCGTTGGGTCGATGAAGATGCCGACTGATGTATATTAAGGAGAAGGGAGAAAACTTTACGAACATACCCTCTCTAGAGGGAGCGCAAATACAGTGCGTCGGTACATCGCCTTTACAACATTAAGAAATTACAATAGGTTGAAATCTCTCTGAAACTGGTGTTGTGGCAATACTCAACAAACTAAAGAGCCTTTGATTTTCAAGTTTCCCACTCATCACACATGATTGCACACAACTAAGGGACCGACGAGGTTGTTCCATCGAATACCCACATGTTGCGCTCTTTCTAGATCTACCAAGTTACGAGGATGACTCCGGCGTCGAACGTCCCACGGTCGACCTTGGAAACGGAGTGCTAGGCAGTAAGCCACCAACTGGGAAAGTCCGAAGACGATGGAGAACAGGAGAGACTCAAACGAGTCCGAATCTGTACCCAAACCTGTTGCGAGAAGGGTTGAGAAGGGGCAACCCTGGAAGATGTGTTAGTATGACTGGCCATCATTGGAGCATAGGTGACAAATTGGCGCGAGCTTCCAACCTCGCCGCTACAGGTTGTCAGTTGTTAAACAAGCATTGCGGACGGCAAGAAACATGAATAACTTGTATCTCGCCGGCGCGCGGGATTTCCAAATGATCTTGCCGAGAGGGCTTGTTTAACATATCGCTAAAATTTAGCGTTAACAGGTTTCACAAGGTGCAAACATATAGTGAAATCAAACTTCACGAATAACAACACAAATATGAAAAATATATGAACTATGAATCCGGCATTGGCCATGGACGATTAAGCTCGAGATTAAGATCACTTTCCTATAGATACTAGGAATAAAAACTTTTCCTGAGATCACATTGAGTAGTAATTCAACCTGATAAACAAATTGCACTCAGCTTCGTGGGAGAGGCAGGAACTCCACATTGAGTAGTAGTTCAACCTGGCAAATAAATTGCACTCAGCTTCGTGGGAAGGATATGCATCCGATACCGAGATCTAACGATTAGTTGAAGAATCGGCGTGTCTGCCAAGATTGAAGTGCGTGATGTATATGAACCGACCCATATCAAGATCTAACGATTGGTCGGTTAGGGATGGAGTTACCGTCACCACTATGTTTTATTTTTTAAAGTGTATATAGTATTAGTATAAATATGATTCTCAACGAAAAGATTAGCATTTTTTTGTCCATTAATTTGCAGGACACCAAATATGAACAGTTACAAACTATTAATTGAGATCAGAGTTGCTAGCTAGATACTACGAATAAAAACTTCTCCAGGCGCACACCATGTTGAGTAGTAATTCAGCCTGAAATTTTACTCAGCGTAAATAATCCAATCTGGCGGATAGCTTCGGCGCGAATCTCTGAAGCATCGGCTTACCCGCGACAGCTGCGCCGGACAGGACTCCGCCGAGGATGCCGGCGACGATCATCGACCTTGGGCCGGACGCGATGCGGTAGAGCGCCCCGGCGCTGGCCCCCGCGGCGACGGTGTTGACCCAGTCGTCGGCGCCGTCGCGCTGGTCGCGGACGAAGCTCTCGGTCCCGGCGAAGAGCATCGCGACGATGCCGAACCGGTTGCCGAAGGCGCGGCCGACGGAGCCGCTCTGGTTGAGGGCGCGGTTGATGCGCAGCTTGGCGGACTCCCCGCGCTCGGCCTCGGCGGCGGCGCGGCGGAGGCCCACGAGCGCGCCGGACGTGGCGCCGGCGAGGTAGCTGACGCCGGTGTAGAACGTGAGGTTCTCGCCCCAGGTGCGGGTCTGCCGGAACTTGTCCTCCTCGAAGAGGCACTCCGGCGAGGTGGGCAGGTCGTAGAGCGCGCGGTACGAGGTGGGGAAGGCGAGGCCCTCGGGGCGATCCGGCGAGTAGAAGCGGCGCCCTTCCGTGGGCTCCTGCTGGGCGTCAACGGCGCGGGACATGGCTGGCTGATCTAGGGTTGCCGTGGGCTGCTGCTGCCGCTGCGTGCCTTCTGGGTTTCTGGACGATCGGTTTTGGTTGCCGCCGCCGTGTGCCGGGGGTTTAAGAGAGGGGAGTGGTCTCCGATCTGCAGTCTGCGCCTTCGCCGTGTCGCCGAAGAAAAGGGGGAGGGCGGAGCCGTGCGAGATGCGGACTCGAAACCCAGTAGGAAAAGGAACCACAACGCGACGCCACGGTTCCGACTTCCGATTGAGAAAAGAGGGTGTGGGCCGGTGAGGTGGGCCGTGGGTGTCGGCCTTCAAGTAAGTGGTCTGCCAGCGCGGCCTCCCTCCGCCTCCTCTCGGCCTCCACACAACTGTGCACGCAAGGGGCTAGGCGGAATAAGTCCAGTAGGACTCCCTCAAAATATAAGTCCAGTTTATTTGAATTCCTTAATCGCAAAGATATTTGAAACTGGCTCCGTCGTGGAATAAGAGAACATAGTATTTGCAAACGAAAAACAGTTTGTGAATAAAATTTTTATACACGTGTTTTTAGCGATCTAAAAGTAAAGACTGAAAAATAAACTTCGATGAAAAAAAACCCAAAAATCAACTCCAAATTGAGAGTTGAAAATTTAAATTTTGGCTGATAAGCATAAGCAAAAGAAAAAGATGAGGCTGTGGTGTAATTTGACTTCATAGATTATTGTAAGAGTGGTTTTCGCTGAGGTGGCAGGTTAACTTGTCTGCTTTCGGCCAGCTATTGGGCCCGCCACCGCGTCCCCTTTCTCAAATGGGCTCGACTTTATAACAGGCCGGGCCGTGCAAGCGCCACGTAGCTGCACAAACAAGGCCGTATCGCGTCGTGTCAAGCTCGATCTAGAGTTGCAAGACCCCCAAACCCCCGTGACCTCTCCGCCGCAGCCGCAACAGCAATGGAGGCGCAGGCGGACGCCGGCGGCGACGACCTCGCCGCCATGCGGGAGCAGTGCCGGAGCCTGGAGGAGGCCATCGGCTTCCGCCGGGAGACGCAGATGGGCCTCGTCGCATCGCTCCAGCGCCTCGTCCCCGACCTCGTCCCCTCCCTCGACCGCTCGCTCCGCATCATCGCCGCCTTCAACGACCGCCCCTTCGTCCCCACCCCGAACCCCGACGGCGGCCACGGTAAGAGCCCCGCCGCCCTCAAGCCCCACCACCGCCGCGCCCTCCCTGACCCGGCGCGCTCCACCCGCCGCAAGACCTCGCCCGGATCCTCCCCTGCCTCCGTCGCCGCTGCCCCCGGCGGCCTCGACGCCGTGCGCACCATGGTCGCCGTGTGCCTCCTGGAGCTCGTCCCCTTCGCCGAGATCGACGCCGCCGCGCTCGCCCGCCGCCTGCAGGCGGAGAGCTCATCCGCCAGCGAGGCCGAGCGGACTGCTCTCGCTGACCTAGCCGCCGAACTCGGCGGCTCGGCGGCCTCCGCTGTAGTCCTCGCCCTCCGCCGCATAGCCGAGGACACCGGCGGTGTGCAGATCGAGGAGGCCATGATTGGGGGCAAGTCGATGACGATGGTCTGGGCCATCGACCGGAACAAGCTCCTCAAGGAGCTGCCAGAATCCGCTACTTTGCCGCTACTCCAACCTCCTCCAGCCCCCCAGATGCCCCCCTCTGAGACCGATGCCGGCAGCGCAATGATACCAAGAACACCGCAGCAGCAGCAGCCGCAGCCGGATATGTGGCCGCATTCGATGCCTCCGATATTCCCACGGCCAAGGGGCATGACGATGCAGGGGATGCAGAGGGTGCCCGGCGTGCCACCAGGGTTGATGCCGCTGCAGCGGCCATTCATGGGACCAGCTGGAGTTATCACAATGGGTGGGGGTGTGGGGCCTAGCCCTAACCAGCAGAAGCAGAAGAGCGAGGAGGACGAACTTAAGGATCTTGAGTTGCTGCTGAACAAAAAGACATATAGAGAGAAGCAGAACACCAAGACCGGGGAGGAACTTTTAGATCTCATTCACCGGCCCACGGCGAAGGAGACGGCTGTGGCAGCGAAGGTCTGTTTTCCCTTCACCTATGCTAGTGGTTTTGTTGTTTGCACTGTGTAGTTAGTGATGCTTTGGGTTGCTGATTTGTTATTGATGTAGTCTCACACTGTTAGTCCTGTAGTAGTAAATGAGCTGGCAGTGGCGGACCTAGGATTTGAACCCAGGGTAGGCCTAGCAAAAAAAAAAATCTGAATGCAATACAATATGATTCGATATAAAATGTGGTAAACGATACGGTATATAACTCTAAATGGTTCAATACAAGTAGAAAATAACAAATAAGTTTGAATCTTACCTAAATGGTCCAAAGTTGGCATGGACCTTTTAGAATGTACCCTCTTCTAGCCGCATCTTGATCGTTGGCATCAAAACTTGAAATAGAAGCCCTTAAGCCTGGATCATGTTCAATATCATCAACATCATAAAGCAGCGGCGGTTCTTCTTCAGTTTCAATTGACCCCTGTTGAGTTATGTGTCTTAGTGAATATGTATATGTTTAGGGACTAAATGTAAAGACCATTGCATACAAGGAGATGGGGGACACCAGGTCCAAATCATCCAAAATTTACAGCATGGTATCAGAGCAGGACGATCCTGCTTGATTTTCTTGCAATCCCTAGCAACACGAGTTAATGTGGAATGCTGGTTTGCAGACTGCAGTGAATCATGGTCCAGAGGTAGTCCTGAAGAGATGAGGTTGATCCATGTTTTTTTTTGGTGATTAGTTGCATCTGGTTTGCTGCCTGCTGTCTGTAAGAGTACGGTATGTTTTTTGCCAAGGAAATCCATCCAAGCCTTGCCTTGTGATTTCGCTCCTGGACTTGCATTTTCTTCGTTGCTGTCTCAGCCTCTCAGGTGGCGTTGCTGCTGTTTTCTTTGCCGTGTGTGCTGTCGAGAGTTGCAGCAGACCTGTGTAGTTGTGTGACCTTGTATAAGTTCAGTCTTGATAAATCTATATAGAAGTTTGTGTTTTGATTGGGTTCCAACCTGCTCACTAAGAAATGAGTGAGCCAACTACAGCAGGGGCGGCTGGGCGCTGGCGGCGTCGGGCAGGACGCCGGGACCGCGGGAGCCGGGAGCTCGGGAGGCCGCTGGGCAACGGCCGGACGTGAGACGGAGAGGGCGCGGCCAGCCGGCCAGGGGCAGAGTCGCGGAGATGGCGCGGCCGCGGGGGCGCCGGCGCGGCGCGCGAAGGCAGCGGCGTTGCCGCCACGGATGGGCGTGCGCCTGGCGTGAGCCGGGAGGCCGCCGACCGACGGACGCGGCGGGAGGAGCGGCGGCGTGAGTAGCGGCCTCACCGGACGGTGGGAGCGCCGGAGTTGCGCCGGCCTCGCGGCTCGAGGGAGCGCTGTCGCCGTTGGTCGGTCGGGAGGGGAGAGTGCACAGGAGAGAACAGAGAAGAGACTTAGGGTTTTTTTTGTTTGTTGGGCCAGGCTTTTTTCATGGGCCAAGAAAAAATAAATACCTGATCTTCTCTAGGCCAAATTCTAGGGTAGTCCTGGGCCTACCTGGACTACCCTCTGGGCCCGCCCCTGTGAGCTGGTCTACTTATGCATTGCTGTTGTTAAAACTATCATAGGACGCATAACAGCTAGTTGTCGGAGGCACACTGCTATAATGAACGGTTTATCATAAATTGCTTAGATTCTGCACTGAATTAGTGCGACTGTCAAAGTAAAACTGTTAAATGTTGTTTGACCCATCTGCATTGCCTATATATTGTCAACCTCTCGACACTTATAACTTCCACTCTTCCAGTTCTTACACATTTAATTGTAATAATATGGTTGACATGAAAATCATTCATCTTGTTTTGTTAATATGGTTTTATGTTCATGCAGTTTAAAACAAAAGGTGGTTCCCAGCTGAAGGAATATTGTACCAACTTAACTAAAGAAGATTGCCGACGCCAAAGTGGATCTTTTGTTGCCTGTGATAAGGTCTGTGGTGATAGTGTCCTGCACCCCTTTTCACAATGTGTACTTCCGCACGTTACATTTTGTCTACTTTTAACAACAGTAGAGCAAAACCTGTTGTGTTTGATTCAATCACTTAAAATGATGTGCCTATCCACAATCATGGCCTCTTTGACGATGAAATTATCCTGTTAACATATTAGGCCTTATTTCTGGTTACTTGAATTTATTCCAATCAAAATCTTCACATTTTTTTCCTTGAATACTTGAATAGCTTTTGTTATCTGGTCTTTTAGCTGTTCATGGTAACAACTAATCTGGAAGTAACTGTTTATATTTCATTCTGAGCAGGTCCATTTCCGCCGTATTATTGCTCCTCATACTGATACAAACCTAGGAGATTGTTCTTTTCTCGACACTTGCCGTCACACAAAGGTGACTATGGCATATACACCCTTGTATTTTCCTCTATTATGATGTGTGTTTTTGTATCTTACATATATCCTATAATCTGTAGACCTGCAAGTATGTCCACTACGAGCTTGACCAAACACCAGATATACCTCCAATGATGGCTGGTGCTCTTGCACCCCCAAGGCAAATAAGGCTCCAGAGAGCTGAATATTGTTCAGAAGTAGAGCTTGGAGAAGCTCAATGGATAAACTGTGACATCCGAAACTTCAGAATGGATATCTTAGGACAGTTTGGAGTAATTATGGCCGATCCCCCTTGGGATATTCATATGGAATTGCCATATGGCACAATGGCTGATGATGAAATGAGGACCCTTAATGTCCCTGCTTTACAAACTGATGGATTAATTTTCTTATGGGTCACTGGTCGTGCAATGGAACTTGGTCGGGAGTGGTAAGTTTCCAGAACTATATTTGATTAGTTGTCTTCAGCAGTACCAACAGGTTAATTAATAATTGCGTAGCATTTTAGCATTGTTCATATCCTAATGCCCCTTACTGAGTGCAGATCATTTAGATATCCCACACTTCATACTCAAATAACTCGATAGGATATAGATGCTACTGTAATAACAAGTTATGTCATATTCATTCCTTTACTGAATTTTGTTTTTACTTAATGTCTACTGCCAAGTGTAAACTTTCCCTGAATGAACTTTCAGCCTGAACAATTTTCTTACTGACAACTATGTTGCTTGTTTTTACCATTCTTCAGTTTGGAGCTCTGGGGTTACAAACGTGTGGAGGAAATTATTTGGGTGAAGACCAATCAACTTCAACGTATTATTCGAACTGGACGCACTGGTCATTGGTTGAATCATAGTAAAGAGCATTGCCTTGTTGGAATAAAAGGAAACCCTTTAGTCAACAGGAACATTGACACTGATGTTATTGTTGCTGAAGTCCGTGAAACAAGCAGAAAACCTGATGAGGTACACTCGCTTCTTTGATTCATGGTTCTATACTCGCCGCAAAAGCATTGTGTTTTTTCTTATAAAAAAATTCTAACTATAGTTTATAATGTTTTTCTTCCCTACTGTAATAATAAACATGCTCATTTCAAGGCTATACTCCTACATTCTTTAAATTTGTTTTGCTGTGCAGATGTACCCCATGCTAGAAAGAATAAGCCCAAGGACAAGGAAGCTGGAACTGTTTGCAAGAATGCATAATGCACATGCTGGGTATGCTCCTGCTGTGTATTCTTCTTCCCCTAGATTATTTTGTCCTCAAACTAGATGCTAACCATTTACGTACCATTTACCCTTTTTCTTTGTTTGCTCAGATGGCTTTCTCTGGGTAACCAGTTAAATGGAGTAAGGCTTGTTGATGAAGGGTTGAGAGCACGGTACAAGGCTGCCTATCCTGATTCAGAGGTGCAGCCACCATCACCGCCCAGAGCAAGCGCCCCTATAGATGGTGATCAAGGCACATCACAGAAACCTACTGTATCAGACGGCGAGAGGCCTGCCTGATGTGAAGCAGTCGGCACCTTACTTTGAGGACTATGACATTGAGGAATCATCGTGCAAGAATACAAACACTTTGGACGACATAAGTATTTTATCACTCGTCAGCTTTAACTCCGGTTGTAAAATTAGTTAAGTCGGTTTACTTAGAAGTTACTCCAGTTGTAAAATTAGTAAGTCGATTGTTTTTGGTCGCTTGAGGAATGCAGGAGGAGGGAAGAATTGTTGGGTTTTGTAATGTTGGCAGACATCCATCTTGATAATGGAACGCGTGAGCCATTACTGATCTTGTTAACATGTCAGCACGGGCAAATCCTGAATGCAACATTTGTTCCCGTCCTGGAAAAACAGCATGTACGTTAACTCATGCTGGGATGGCTAATTAGCGCAAGTGCATCGCCACACTTTTCTTTAGTATTTTCCGACGAAACTTTTTAACTCAAATACTACAACTTTTTAACTCCAGAGCAACATTACAGTACACAAGGTTTTTCTAAAAGGTTGACATAATTAGAGTACAAAACTTTAACGACAGTATCATGTTTGCTGCTAAGAATGGATTTCAGGTTGACATAATTAGAGCACAAAACTTTAACGAAAGTACTGCTTCATGTTTGCCGCTAAGAATGTATTTCTTGCGTGATTCATGACCAGTGACTATGTTAACATGACTAGAGTAGAGAATAAGCTCAAGGCGCTGCTAGATTTGATGCTTGGTCGCTCAAGGCGCTGCCAAGCTGATGCTTGGTCAGGCCTCATCCTCATCCTCGGGGCCTTCCTTCAGCGCCTTGATGAATGCGTCCAGAGATTACTAACAAGAACAATAATATATTGTTTAGGGTGTTAATGAAGTATTTACCTAATGAATCAATTATATGTTGTTCTTGATGAAAAAAAAAACTAGCCTCGATGAAAAGTTGCAAAGATCAGCGCTGAATTCATCAATGTTCATCTCATCAATGATAGGCATTTTATCAAGCGTTGACAAAATGACAGTCAAACCTTCTTTCTTGTAAGAAAGTACACATGTTAGAACACGGTTGGATCAAAGGTAACTCTCAATTCCTATATTTCTTCTTTCTTGTAAGAAAGTACACATCTTGGAACACGATTGGATCAAAGATAACTCTCAATTCCTATGTTTACTTAGCATCATGAAACACCGGTGGAAGACCGGTGACATATAGATCTTATAAGAACTCATCCCTTTCACCTTGCACGAAAGTGCACTTATAAACTTTCCATTTTAGACAACACCTTATTGAGAGCTGTCGTAACCTTTCTAATCACAACATACCCAAATCAAAACATGCACGGCAGAAGGCTTGAGAGCCTTTGTAATGTGCCATAAGGTACATGACTAAATGAATTAAAGTGGCGGGAATTAAATAAAATCTTATTTCAGCCCATTACTTTCGTAACTGGCCCGTCCTGTTTAGCGTGAGCGTGGCCTGTCTACCGGCAATGACCCGACGCAGGGCGAACTAAGCGTGGCCCAGTTGTATTCTGCGGCCCAAAGACCACGAGGCCCAATAGCGGTGGTGGCCCTACGTGGGGCTGATATGGTCCATCCGATTTGATGGACGGCTCGGATCAGTCCCGTGCCGATGAAATCGCCGGTCGGAGGGGGGAGGGGTTCGAAAACCCTAACCCTAATCCCCCTTCTCCCCTACTCTCCTGATCCAATCTCTGGTGATGCGAGAGAGTGGACAACGACGATGGTGGTGACGACAGTCCGTCGAGGTGGAGCACGCACGCAGCAGCGATAGCGAGTGGCACCGGCTTCACCGGCTGGGAGGCGTGCCTGAGGGCAGCGCCAAGCCAAGCCACAGCGTCAACAGTCCAATGAAGCGGGCGCGCAAGTAGAAACGGGTGCCGAGATAGGCTGGGCTTCGACGGCGGGGGGTGGGGGCATAGTAAAAAAAGCCGGACTGGTAAGTGACCCGGCCGACCTCTCGGTTCAGCGGTCTGCCGGTCTGACCGGTGACCCGGGCGGTCGAACTGCGGTTCACAAACTACATGTATATTACATATTCACTCATGTAATGGCTAGCTCTTTGCTCTTGTAACTCTTGGACCCGGGTTCGAATCCCATGTAGTGCACCATTTCTTGCTATTTTTGCCAAAAAAAAGACCACCAGCTGCACCAAATGGGCCTTTAAACAGCCCATTGTGGCCCATTAGTATGGCTAGCCGGTTCAACCAGTGCCGGTTTAGTGTCCGGTTCGCCGAAAACCGGCCGGTTCAGGCGGGCAAAAATAAGACCAACAGCTGCACCAAATGGGCCTTTAAACATCCCATTGTGGTCCATTAGTATGGCTAGCCGGTTCAACCAGTGCCGGTTTAGTGTCCGGTTCGCCGAAAACCGGCCGGTTCAGGCGGTTCAGAGCGGTTCGATTGCATGTCTGGTCTTTAAAGGAAACCGAACCGTGGTCACCTTTGGTTCTGGTTTTTTCCGATCTAACCGCCAGGAACTCCTAGAAGGCGCGCAAACGGGGAGCCCAACGCAACCGCGAGGAGGCGAAGGTGCATGTCCGGTTTTTAAAGGAAACTGAACCGTGGTCACCTCTGGTTCTGGTTTTTTCTGGTCTAATCGCCAGGAACTCCTAGAAGGCGCGCACACGGGAAGCCCAATGCGACCACGAGGAGGCGAAGGTGTGGCAGTGTCGCTTCCCGGTGAGACCCACACAACGGTGGGGTTTCCCGGTAGAATTAGGGCTCCAAATCCGGTAAGAATATGAACTCAAGCCTAATTTTCTTAATTTGATTTGGATTTGGATTTGATTCAGATTTTGGGGTACTCTTCAATTTGGGGATTTCGGGAAAATTGAAACCAGATGGGATTGTCAGGTGCTATTGGGCTGCACCTTGGGCCGTGCCAGCTATTCTCCAAGTTGAGCCCAAGTAAGCCCAAGGAGAGGGGACATATACAAAGGCAACGGCGACACTTGGGAGGGAAGGAACATAACTAGCAATCGGCGGCTTCGGCTACAGCAGCGGCAACGACTTGGTTCGGTTGAACCTTGTTGATCTCTATTCCTCTCCCACCCTCTCTCTTGTTACTCTTCACTAATACTTCTAGAAGCTTCCGGAATCTAGTAGCTTGCATCCTTTACATCTTCTCATCCTGTCCCTATTGTATTTTCCTGAGATTGCATTGAATTTTAGTTGCTCTTGAGATTATTGAGTTGAGAAGAAGAGGTTGCTAACACTCCTCTTCTACGCCCATGCTGCTTTCTCCCATCGGTCGAGCACCCTGGAAAGATATGGGGGAAGAGAGTGGAGAGGGAGCAAAGGGAAGTAGAAGATGTGGTTACACTGATATGTGGGATCCATCTGTTCTTTTTTAATTTTTGTCTTTGGTGCCACGTCCCCATCATGTCATGTAAAATGCTTACAATACTGATTTGGGACTAGGGATGACAATTTCCCCCGCGGGGCCGGGTCCCCTGCGGGGACCCGACCCTACGGGGGCAGGGGCCATTTCTGACCCGTGGGTGAGTCGGGGGCAGGGCACCGCATTTGGGCGGGGAGCGGACGGAGAGGATATTGAACCCGGGGGATATATTACCCCTCGAAATGTAGCCCATAGAAGGCCCAACAAGCCCAACTTAGCAAAATACTGTGATATATGAGCAAAAACTAAACATGCTAACCCTACCTTATCCTCTCCCGTCCATCCCATGCAGCCACACAGGCACGGAGGTGGCACACTCCTCTCGCCTCGCTTTTCCCTTCTAGATCTCGCCGCTCTCTCTCCGTCTCTTGCGGTCTCGCCGTCGTCAGTCGCCCTCTTCCCTCCCCTCCGACCTCCTGTCCTCTCCAGTCTCCCCTTTCCCTCCCATCTCCCCACGGTAGCGCGCAGGACGACGCACGGGCGGCACGCGGGGAGGCGCACAGGCGGGCGTGGCGAGGGATGCGGCACGGCGCATAGGCGCGACGGCTGGCAAGGGGACAGGCGCGGCGAGCGGGCGACACAGGTGACAGGCGAGGTGAAACACACCGAGAGGTATTTCACTAAATTGGTGAAATGTTGTTTGTTTATTGAGTGAATTGTTGTGTCAAAGTATTTGTGAACTTTGTGGTCATGCATGCATTCAGATCATGGACGGAACGATGTATCATGGAAATATTTGTGTTCTTGCTTGATTCTATATGATAGTCTTGAAAAAAAAAATTTCTGATTGGATGAAAATACTACCCAATACGGGGCCCTGGTCGGGTTGTGGGCCGGGGGGTGTCGGGGGCGGGGCTTAATTTGCCCCCGCATCTCCACTCGTGCCAGGATCGGGGACGGGGCCGTTCTAGTCTAACCCGTCCCTGCCCCGCCCCGTTGCCATGTCTATTTGGGACTATATTTCTACGGTTATTGCGGCATTGGGATGTAATTCGAACGGCGTCAAGTTGAGCGACCTTGAGTGAACTTATTCCTTCTCAAAATTGGGGAGCTTGCGACTCTGGCCATTCTGCTCACGCAGTCACGCTAGGCCCAAGGCCCAAAAACACTATCCAGTGGGCTCAAACTAGAGGCTTCTCTTCTACCCAGGGTTTAGCGTCGGATCCAGTCTCCACCGGAGCGCGGGGCGGCGGATTCCAAGGCGGCGATGGAGTTCTGCCCGGGGTGCGGGATGCTGCTGCAGATCCAGCCGGCCACCGGCGGGAACCGCCTGCGCTTCTACTGCCCCACCTGCCCCTACGTCTGCCCCGTCAAAAACAAGGCACGCCTCTTCTTAGCTCTCTCCCCCCCTATCACTTCGCCTCCCTACTTCGTCTGCGACTTTGCGTATTGCTGCCGCGGCCTCCGCGTTTGATTGATGCCTTTCGCAGATCGTGAAGAAGGCGAGACTAGTGAAGAAGGAGGTGGAGCCCATCTTCAGCGACAGCGACGCCATGAAGAATGCCCCTAAGACCACCAGTGAGCCCTTCGCCCTTAACTTTCTTGTTAAGACAATACATTGGGATTAATTGTTGTCTTAACTTTTTTTGTTGAGACAATTCGTTGGGAATAATTGAACTTAGCTTCTCCATTATACTGTGTATCATCTGTATGTCATGAATTGTTGATTATCTTGCCATTTAAATTTAGGTGAAAAATCATTGCTATTGCCACACCAATGGGAAATTTTGTTCTAAATGTACTTGCTGATTTTTGTACTAGTAATTGTTTTTTTTTCTTTTCTTCCATCCATTGAAATGTATAGCTGGGTAATCTAGCCGCAGTCCAACATAAACGAAAGTGTTTTATGCACATATTCTGTCTTCTGAGTTTGTTTAGCTTATGTCGATACAGGAGACATGATTGCTTGTTCATAAAAAAAAAAAAGAGATGAAAAATATACTAAAATAAAAGGCTCAAATTTACTTCACAGCCAAGCAGTGCTGGTTTGAAGCATAATAAATTAATATACTTCTTAAGCTATGATAAAATCCAAATAGCACCAGATTTCGTCCAAGTACCTTCAAGAAACTTGCTACTCCTATGTATTTCGTTGTTTAAAGTCATCATTGAGATGGGAATGTTCATTAGGGGATGTCTGGCACATATTTATTAGGAAACCAGATGATTGAATAGTTATGGGTGCTTCTAGTTTTGATACATTGTTACCATGGCCGTGGTATACTATCATGCATGTGCGTGCTTAGTTCCTTGTAAAAAAAAGGAGTAAAATGGTGGACCATCAGTGCTTTCTTTTTTCAAGCATCTATTCTGTACACTTTCAACACAAGATAAGATTGCTTGTTGTGTTGACAGAATAAGCTTGTATCTTTTGATAGTGGAAGGACAAAAAAAAAGCATTTTTCAAAGCTGTACCTGAATTTATTTAGCTGTTCTGATTATAATGGCATGTCTCCAACCCAACGCAAATAAGTTCAATATTTTAACAATTTCCACGTAAAGAACCCTGACCTAACATATGGTTAAACATTTTAATAAAGTTCTAATGGTTGTCTGAATTAGTGACCCTAGAGGTGACATTCTGCCATACATAATCCTAAATACATTCAATGATTTTGATTTTCAGCTACATGCCCAAGGTGCCAAAATGGAGAAGCATACTACAGGCAGATGCAGATTCGATCAGCTGATGAGCCAATGTCTACATTTTACAAGTGTTGCAGAGAAGAATGCCAATTTGATTGGAGGGAGGACTGACTTTAGTAATATTTCTTGTTTAATGTGTGTGGATATTTTTCCTGCTAAAACTATGTAATCATATGAAACCTTTTGTAATCAGCTCATGCCGCAGCAAAGAGCCAAAGAAAACTTACACATGGGAAACCAACGTACCACAAAATATCGTGATATTTTGGTCTAGGCGTGTGCCAAAGTCCCAACCTATCGTGGTGTTTTGTCTAAGAATCCGAACTGAAGACTGGTCCATTAAGGCATTAACCCAAAAAAGAAAAGGCTTCTCACACCCTCAGAAGTTAGATTTTGGTCTTTGTTGCCTTGTTGGTGTTAGAGATGTAGATTGTCCTGGTCTAGAACACGAGAGCATGAATAAACGAGAAGATTGCGGCCATAAGGCCTCCCGCTCTGCCGAATGATCTACTTAGGTTATCATCAACAACAGCATTTTGCAGCAATTACGGCATCAAACATTCATTAACACCATCAAAATATCATGCTGTAAACTCTTGCCAAACGGCTTAATAATTACCAACAAGCTGGCTTTACAGCATTGCAGACTACAGCAACGTTTAAACTAAAAATTATTAACGTTGCTCAATTATGTATGAAACACAAGAAATGTTGAACCAGGAAGCTGGAACATGAACATCTGAACATTCTTTCTTATGATGTTCAGATGAAACACAAAACTTGACTTTATACATCATCATTTATCTGGTAACCACTTCTTCCGGGCTCCTTCCAAAGCTTCTTCCCGCATCCTTGTTAATTCACGAAACCATTGCTCGTACTGAGCTTCAATCAGACCAAGCTCTCCATTTAACACATCTCGATTTTCAGTAATTGAAACCGATGCACCGATCACCAACTCCGAGTGATGTGATGCTTGATCCATCTGAAAGATTGCAAAATTACTTGAACCATTACTTAACGGATGTCTGCAGCCCAGTTTATCGGTTCCTTTGTACGCACCACATTCCAGTGTCCTGTATTCGTCAACGCCATACTCACTAAGACTTTTGGAACTCCCATCAAGCTGAACAGAAATGTCTGACCCTTCAGAGCTATTTGGTCCTCCTAGATTGGTTGCATTCAAGAGAGAATCAATATAATCACTTGGTGATGCATTGGCTTCTTTCGAATGCATCATACCTTCAACTAGTACATAATCATGTGTCAACTCCGATGGATGCTGCTGGGAAGTAATTACGTGCTCACTTTCACCCATTTTAGATTCGCTGGAAGTACTCATTACTGCATCATTCATCAGCTGCTGACCAGGGACAAGATTCACTATCAAAAGATCAATAAAATCAGCAATGAAAGTAACATCACAGTCTGCTAACTCCAACTGCTCGACCATTTCAGCAGCAACAGACATAGCTGTATCAGAATCCAAGTAGAAGAGAAAATGAATGTTCCTTGCATGTCCTGCAAAAATAAAAATGATATCGTATCACGAGAACACAAAAGATAAATTCAATTAACAATAGAAAGTCGTACCACACAAATCGGCAATTCGCAAAACCAGTGATACTGAATTGTCATCAAGTTTCTCGCCTGTTAGCTTTAGCTCTGTGTTTTTGTTAGTTCGCGTGAACTCCAACACAGATCTATGTGGACCACCAAGATCATTTCTCTTGCATGTGCTAGTACACATAGATTCATTGGTGTCAACATCCATGTGCAAAGCTTCCAAAGAGACATCTACTGATTTGGGTAATGATGACGGAAACTTAGTGCCAACAAGAACACTAGAATTATCAGAGCAAAGAAAGGGGTCTTGCAATAGTTCTTTGGCAGACAGCCTTTCAGAAGCAGGAACTAAACATTTATCAATAAATTGTTTTGCCTGAATATTTGTGATTTTAGCCAGAGCAGCCGGCTTGACACCCTAGAAATCAGAGATTTAGATAAGATAGTGTTGAGGCACAATTATACAAAGATAAATTAATAAATACTTACCTTAGATACTTTCTTAAAAATTTGAGCTGCATTTGTACATTCACTGTAAGGATACTCAAGAGTGAACATCTCCAACATACACATTCCAAATGAGTATATATCAACAAGTTCATCATAATTCTCATCATATAGCTCAGGCGCCATGAATTCAGGAGTACCTGCAGAAAGTGGACCCATATCACAGGGATGTATCAGGAGAATGCAGAATGTTTTCTGTGGATTAATTTGGCACCTGCTAACATGCTTAGATGAGAAAAACAGGTGACTCTCACAGTTTTGTATTGTGGACCTATTTACATTAGTTTATGTTTTTAAGTGACATGGTTGGTGCATCGAACTCAATTCAGACATAGCTGAATATTGTAAAAGGAATGTAAAATATGAAATGAGCAGCATAGGATCAACATGTAAGATGTAACTATAAGAATATTGTTTAAAGGGTTATAAATGTGGTATAAGCAAGTCAATTTTGAGTTAATGGAATATTGAAACCCCAAGTATATCGGTCACAATACTTGTGTGTGTAACACATCAGATATAAATGTTGACAAGTCAGATCAGTAATGGCTAATTAGCTATAGAAGTGGTTGACATTGCCCATGGATTATGCATTTAGTTGCACACTCAAAATCGTCATTTAGTCTGTCTCTCCAAATCAGAGGACAATAATTCAGAAATAACATTGGAATCACAAAGTAGCAGAAGGTTATTACCAATAACACTTTTTGCTCTAGGCGTTAGCATCACCGTGGCTAATCCAAGATCTCCAATCTTAACTTCTCCATGATTCCCATTGACAAAAATGTTGTCACACTTCAGGTCTCTGTGGATAATTGGAGGTTGGTGGGTGTGCAGGTAATCCAGCCCACGGAGTACCTGTCTAGCCCAATTCTTTATTGCCTTCAAGTCAACACGTGGATGTTTCTGACGATACCTATAAGCAAAAGGTAATGGTGTCATTCCACAAGAAACATGGTAGTATTAAGAAGGCAAGACTATTACTTAGTTGCTACTTACTGCCTGAGACTTCCAGATGTGAAAAGTTCTGTAATAACATTAATTGTCTTCTTTTGATCATCAACCCAATAATTATAGAACTTCATTACGTTTTCATGCTTGAGAGACTTTAGTAGATGAACTTCAGAGTATAGCCGTTCAAGATTATCTGGAGATTGCATAACCTCATCTATCTCCACTTGGCTCCATGCAACCTCAATGCCTTCAACCTCATCAAATGCCTTGTAACTATATCCGAATTAAGCATGGATGCAAATAGTTACAAACAGCCCGATGTAAACAAGAGCACAGACAGAAAATGAGCAAGGTAGCATTAATACATTTGCAGCTATTGCCATTAGAAATGTATACCCTGGATCCCATTCGATGTTTGTTCTGTAACAGTGTTGACCGTACTAGACACCAGCAGGCAGCAAATTAAAGAGATTAACCTCCACGTAAACCATTAAACCTAAATCCCACAGCAATTAGTAGGCCTAAAAGTTGAAACAGATAAAACTCCTTAGGTGGTCGTTAGTTTGTTGCTTAGGCCCTGTTTCTTTCAGCTTAAGATTATTATAATCTAGATTATTGAGTCAGATTACTATAAGCTAGATTGTTATAATCTGTAGTAGAATAAGCGGTTAGTTGTTTCTTTCCTAGATTATTAAAGCCTAGATTATTGGGTTTGCAAGTCTAAAGAGGGAGTGGGATGGCATGGTGGGTAATTTTTCACCCAATAATCTGGAAAAAGCTCACATAAATGAGCTTATCAGATTATAATAAGCTGGACTCCAGATTATAATAAGCTATTTCAATAAGTTGTCTGTTTCTTTTAGCTTACTCCCAATAATCTGGATTATAACCCAAGCTGAAAGAAACAGGGCCTTAGTATTTCTTACCTCTTAGGACGATATTTGGCATAGATATATAGGTGCTAAAAGGCTGCCAAGACATGAGACGATTGCTAGAATACTAGTAGTCCTTAAGTTGAAAGTTTGGAACCTGAAATTCTCTAATTTGAACGCTGTTTACTACCCTGCTTGGCTTCTTGTGTTAGCCGAAACATAGTTGCATATATGGTTAATGCAGCATTTTTTCCTAGATTTTGAAAATGTGACAACCCATTGCAATATAAATATATCTCTTTGACAAAGAAGCACAAAAACAAAGAAGAGATTCCAAGGACATACACAGTCTTCATAGCTCCTCTCCCTAGCACCTCATTGTACTGCACCAGGGAAAAAGTTCAGATGAATACAGCAGGCAGAGTTCAGGAGTGGCACATTTGTGGATAATTTTGACAAAATTGCATGCAGTTTTTTTTTCCTTTTGGTAATCGTTTGAGCAAATTTCCAGCATTTTAGTAATGCATTTCAAACATATTAAATTCTATGAGCAAGCAAAATTTAGATAAGCCTTTCTGTACCAGTAAACTAGAAGCCTGAAAATTTTAATGCAGGTATCCGTTCATCACAAACTTAAATAGACTAGCATGGGCATGTCAAATCACGTTCACATCAGATCAACTAAAATGGAAGAGGTTCCTATCAGAAAATAAATGAGAAAAAAACTTACGCGTATGTACCGCCTGGTCGGATCCACCTCCACGCACTCAGCATCGTCCACCTTATCCAGATCGCCGAACACCTCCATTTCAGATCACCCCACGCGCACGAACGAATCAGGAAGCAGAGAGGAAGCAGAGCGAGATGAGCCAGGCGAGATCGCCGGGACAGCGCGTGGAGCGGCGCGGGCGCCCGCTACGCACGGCGGTCAGCAGCTAGAGCCGGCGACCGATGCAGCGGAGGAGAGACGGCGCGGGGCGGCCAGTTAATTATATAGGATCGCCGGGCGTTCGGTGAAGGGCTCGGAGAACGGGGCCGGCGACGGCAGCTCGCGGCGGCGGCGGCTGCTGCGGAGCGACGTCGCCTTCACCCCACCCGCAACTCCCATGGCCCGGCACCCGGCGGACGCCACGCGGCTGGCGCAGCACCTCATTCTTCTCCCCCGGTCGGTCTCCTCCCTTCGTCGTCGGCGGCGCGGGCGGATCCCATGGAGGGCTACGCGAACGGGGACGCGGGGGCGGCGGCCATGGAGGAGAGGCGGAGGCAAGGGCTAGGGTTAGGAATTCAGCGGCGCGCCGGTGTACGGATGCGGGGAGGAGGCGAGGAGGAATAAGAGGGGAGAGGTAGGTGGTGGTGGGGAGCAAAAGGTGGGAGAGAAATAGTAAAGGCCTGGAGCCTTTATTACGGTTCGGGAGCAGCAGCTGCATCTGTGAACTGGGATGACGCTCATATTACTCCGTCACACAATGTTAGCATTTTTTATATGGAAACGGTATTTAAAAAACAGGTAAAATGATTGGAAAAATATTATAATTGGTTGGAGAAAAAAATAGATAAAAAATTAAATAGAAAATGATTGTGATTGGTTGAGAGAAAATGTTAGATAGAGAAATAGCAACATTTTAGAATAAGATATTGTGTTAAAGTTAATAACATTTTGAAATAGAGGTAGTACTCCCTTCATAAAAAAATTGTACTCCATCTCATATTAGATTTATTTTTTTATGCAATGCAGGAAGTACGAGCGATTTTGGATTGATACCAAAATGTGTCCTACCAATTTATTGGTATCTTGAATAGTAATAGTATGGATTTGGATTGAAGCCAAATTATTGATAATGCCAATGATCAATTTGTCACTAATCTAGAACCTTCTTCTTTATATCATCAATATTTGACATCATATTGGTAGTAATCCAAACATGTATAATAAATTTCTATCCTACCAAAAAAATTGGTAGTACCAAAACATGTCAAGAATTTGGTATTACCAATGATTTGGTAAGGTAGAGAACAAAACAACCCCTACATGGTACGCAAACTCATATATACTGATAAACGGTGATACAGTTAATACGCATGAGCGAAAATCCATTTTTACCAGGCTTGCCGTTCTTTTTTTTTCAGTTGAGAATAGGATGAAAATTTCTGGATTATTGTGAAAAATCAAAATGACTGCCAAATACAAAGTGAATACTTATTCATTGGTTGGGTCTAGATAAGTTCAACCGAAAAAGTTTGATGCCAAATTATTCCTCATGAGAATCTATTAACTTTCGGCCTCTTGCTTTTTTAAGGAGATTCGGAGAGAGAGGAAGGATGCTTACAGCCTAGATTAGGCATTCTATACATTCTTTTTTTTTAGACCATATTATCTACGTGTACAACATGTTACTTGTCATATAAACGTGAAAATACATACAAGAATGCTTGTGCTAGGCGTCGAAACCATCAAGAAAAATTAGGCAGGAGCAAAACATCCACCCGCCCACAAGCCAATCCCTTTTCTGTCTCTTTTTCCCATTTCCTTCTCCTTCCCCTTTTACCTCTCCTTGAGCTAGTGGTGGTTGTCGATCTGGTTGACAAGGGAAAACGAGCATCCGTTGTTGGTAACTTGGGACATGGCGACCACATGTTTCCTCAAGGCGTCAGTATTGTTGAAGTTGTGTCCATCAGGGAGGTGACAATGAATTCGAGATAGGTGAAGAGGATATGTGAACATATTGCCGGCCAAAGTTATAGGCTGATAGCACATCCCATCCAGTTCATCTCCACAAGCGATGGCTACATTTGGTCCTCCATGTTGTGCATTTTCTAAGTGCAGTTTCCCATGAAGCCATAGAGTGCTTGGAGTTGGAGGTGCCAAGGTAGACTGTAACACCCTGAAAATTCAAGACAATAAAAATCACTAAAATTTTAAACTTTTTAAAATTTTTACATCATGCTGGATGTTATGGTTGCTTTTGCTTGCCAAACTATAAATTGTCATAATGGAAAATTAAACTAAAGTTATACAACTAAGTAATAATTATAATAATAAGATATTTATTATGAACCCTATAAATATTTACGTACAAGAAAACAAAGCCAGAAAAAGGGAAGGTTAATTACTAATTTAATTTATGAATCAAATATTAAATACTTGAACCATGTGATGCGTGCCATGAAATATAAACACTTAGGAAATGATAATCGTTCAAATAAATGGAACTCTATCTATAGAATAGTTTTACTGGGAAAAATTAATTAGATATTATATAATTTGAATTGAATCATAAATGCTAAATTATAGAAATCCATGTGGTGGTAAAACCAATCCAAGAAGATAAACCAATATGCGTGAAAACAGATAAATACCAAAATCCCAAATATAGGAAATTATAGAATCTTTAATAAACCTTAAATATTGGACAATATTAAATTTTGGGCAAATTCACATTGAACACTTAATACGGTCACCCAAATGCTTAGGAGTAAATACAAAATTAATTTGCAACTTTTCTCAATTTATATATCAACCAGAGCCGTAAAAGTAAGAAAATAGGAAAACTAAGGAAAATATATAATAATAATAAGGATATGTTCAATATTAAATTTGAATATAAATTTCGATGGAATAACTTAGATTTTGTGTGAAACACATTGTTAGGTGGCAATAGTCCATTTTCTAAATTAGAAAAACATCTAATAAAATCCAAATAAATCAACTAGCACTGTTCATTGCCCCCTAGGTGCTCGACCCTGTCCCATCACCGCCCTCCCCCTGCCCGCGCCGCGCCTAGCCCTGCCCTGCCCTGCCTGTCGCGCCTAGCCCTGCCGCGCCGCTGCCTTGTGCCCCGCGCCGCCGCACGATATCGTGTCGCCGTCGCCGTCGCTCAGACGTGCCGTGCGCCGTTGCTTCGCTCTGCGCGCGCCACTGCCGCGCCCCCTCGCGTCCCATCGTGCCGCGCGCCGTCGCCGTCTCCGGTCGTGTCGCCTCGAGCCCCACCCCTCCGCTCGTCACGTCGCCATCGCCATCACGTCGTCATCATCACCGCGCCGCGTGCCGTCGCCATCGCCGTCCCGTCGACTCCACTGCCGCGCCGCGCGCCGTCCTGTCGCCGCACCGCGCTCTATCGCGACGCCGTCGCCCTTGAGCCCCGCGCCGCTGCTGCGCCATCGCGTCACCGCCGTCGCCATCACCACCTCGAGCCCCGCCCGCGCCGCGCACTGTCGCCGTCGCGCTCGCCATCCCAACGCCGCGCCGCGCCGTCCCGTCACTGCGTGTCGCCATCGCCCCGAGCCCCGCGCCGCCGTGCCATCCCGTCGACGTTTAAAGCCGGCCACCCCTCCCCCGAGCCCTATAAATACCCCCTCCTTTCCCTTCCCTCCCCACGCCATTCCCCCCTCTTCTCCCCTTTTTCCTCTTTCTTCCCCTCCACCGACGCCGCATTCCGCCGCCGCTGCCATGCCCCGGCGTCTCGCCGCCGCCGCGCCGCACCCCGCCGCCGTTGCCGCCGGTCCGATAAGCCCTCCCGCCTCCCTTCATCGCCGGTAGCCGCGCCGCGCCGCTCGGCCGTGAGAGAGAGAGAGGAGAAAACAGAGAAAGCAGAGAGAGAGAAAATAGAATAGAGAAGAGAGGTTAGAGTGGGCCCCCACGTGATTAGTAAATAGTAATCCCCTTAATCTTTATTAGTTAAGTCTATTACATGTAGGTCCGGGTGGTTAAAAATCTAGTTATGGAGAGTTTATAGTTTCGAGTCTATGACAAGCGGGCCCTACTAGGTTTAATGGCCGGTTTGACCCTAGTCAAAGGAGTCGGGCCCACCTGTCATTTGCCCATATGGATTCCTTTAGAAAGAAAAGTAAAATAAAAGAAAAGAAAATAGGAAGACCCCACCTGTCAGTCACTATAGCTTGTGGATAAGGTTGTATTATAAATAAATGAATTAGGAACAGTACCATTTCGCAATTATTAGAATTAATTCAAATTTGAATCTTTACACTAGCATAACTTATTCATTTTAGCTCCGATTTGAGTGAAACTTGAACCTAAATTCATCTAAATTCATAAGCTTTCCAATGGTATATAATTCACTATTTGATAAAATATATTTATAATTATTAAATAATTAATATCAAGATGATGCATAATAATTAACTTAAAAATGTGCTAATAAATAAAATTGATATTGTACTGTGAAGTAGATGTCAAATAATTGTCTTTAACACGCTTTCTCACTATAAAACCTATGTAAACTAATTAGGAGCATTGTTTCAAATTAATTAAAGCATAGGAAATACTAGTGCCATTTATTAATATATGTCAATATATAATTATACTCATGACGTCCAAATTGTATAAATAATGTTTAGCCTCATACTTTGTGACTAAAAGTTGAACACACGTAGATGAGTCTTTAACTTGTTTATGAGAGATAATAACAGAGCTAGTGTGACTAAAATCACCCGCACGAAATTAATTAACGGCATTTCCTATACAGTAGTATATGTTTAGGTTGGAAATCGACCCTTAAGTTGTATAGACGGTAATTCACTCATAAATCCACTTAAAATCACATGTATTGTGTAGCTCGTAGTAAATAGTAACTATTCAAATAAATGATTTAATATTAAGATATTGTGCACACACCTATACTGTACATCCCATTATAGCTATACGGTATAGTATTAATTTGCTTGTTGCATATATTAAATTAGAGGGACTATATGATAAACATGAATATTAGACAAATACTAGTTATAAATCTTGATCTCATATAATTATAGTTCAATTGTAAATTAGGATTATTCATTGTAAAATTATGTGATGGGATAATCTGTAACCATAATATGATTATCCTAAACAACTCTAACATACAAAGCATGGATAATTATTAACCTTTTCTAATTTATTGTGACAAGTAAAATATTTTCATAATTAAAGCAAAGCCTCCATCAATAAAATAATAATACAAATGGTTCCCTGCGATTAATTGCTTGATCCCAAATCCATCCGACGACAACAGAACCTCTAGTATATGACCATTTTATTTAGATCAATGCATGTGTAGCCATAATCCTTCCATAGCCATTAGCTAGACTAAACCACATATTAGCCAGATATGTATCTCGTTTATACTACGTTGGCTAGCTCCTAAATAGACCACCATGACAACAGAAAGATTAAGAAACTTTAGCCCTTAGCATGTTGGAATCCATCAGCAAGCGCGAATAATATGAGCAACCCTAGGTTCGACCTCATCAAATATATTTTGTTTGTGCATATTTGATTGTTGCTTGAATATTGGTTTTTCTTGCGTATTATAGAAATTGTGTATCGATCAGTCGTAAGGCAACGTCTACAACTTCCAGGAGGTGAAGGTTGAA